GGGGGGGGGGGGGGGCGGGAGAGGGGGTGGGGGATGAAAATACACACCCTGACAACACATGCGTCCGGTGGCTTGATTAAATACAATAAACGATAGGATCACATTCATATGACTTACCGTAAATGGTCTCATGGTTTGCGGAGGCGACCAAGTGCTGTGTTGTCAAAGCCAGTTCCACCTGTAGTGGCATGGGCAAAGCATTTTATTGGGAAAAATTGCACTTGTTGCTGACCCATCACCGAACCAATATTCAGGCCAGCGGATATAACACGCCATGTTTACCGCGACTGCAGCAGTGTGGAGTGGTGCTCATGTCAAGAACCTCCGCACGTACATGCTTATGGCTGATTCCAATCAATCCAACCCGCGCCGAAATGAATGGCAACGACAATGAACATGCCACCGTTGTCAGATCTTGGCATCCGTACAACAGTTAAGTATTGTTCGACTATTCTATTGAACCATTTGGAGACTTTCGTGCATGAACAGCTGTTGTGGTGATCGCCCCAAATCAATGTGATGCGATGCTGTGTTATCGTCCGCCCTTGTCGCGCAATGTTTTTTCACTCCACATCAGTGCTCACAGCATGCCGTTTGCTCCAACCTCATGGTCACACAGGAGGGCTCCGCTCCCTGAGTCCCCTACCCAACCGTCCTGCGGTGCTTTGCGGAGCGAGTTCAAAGGCAACAAATTTGGAAGCTTTCCACAAATTGGGAAGCGATCCAAATATTTGGAAGCAGCCGTTCCAAACTTTTCGGGCCCTGTCAAGATTACAATTTTTGGAAAGTTTCCAAATATTTCGATCACTTCCAATTTTTCATATTCCAAAATCGAAAAACAGCGCTGTATCAAACGACCCTTTAGACAAGAGTGAAGGAGGGTGTACTGTACTGTACTGTACTGTACTGTACTGTACTGTACTATACTGTACTGTATTAAAAAAAGTGTACGCTTGCATGCTGCATTTGTGTCAATGAAGCACATTGAGGCGACGAAGGGCGGTAGGCACTGCACTCAAGAAGAGGCGCTGAAACCAGTGTAGTGCCATCACTCGGAGGTAGACAACATGAAGGCTACGACAACGGCATTGAGTCGGGACTCAAAAGCCCGAATGAATGCCGGGCCATTGACAAGCCCAAGGGAGATATCAATGCACCCGCAATTCACCTAAATATACACTTCCGGTGCATGCGATGCCCTCAAGCAACATCAGAACAAAGATAGCACTCTTGAGCGAGTGAAATATGTCACCAAAGAACCGCGAGTACGAAGTGTGCAGCCCCCAAGCCAACCAGCCAAAGAAAAACGCCCGCAAAGTGGTCCACACATGTAATCTTGCCCTTCAATCAACCATGGTCGCACAGCGCCCCAAACAAAAACACGCCGCCGAAAGACGGCTTAATAGCTCACCGCAGCAGCAGGAGACCCAGCGAGGACCGCACCGCCGCTACCCTGGTGTTTTTGATGTTGACCAACCCAACGATGCTTTCACCCGGGACTTTGTGGGGATCCGCTGCTTGTCGTCGGCGGCTTCATGAGTCGCCCACCCCCCGGCAGCTTGACGGCTCCCGCCTTCTCCCTCCTTCTGCCAGGCACGATCGAAAGGACCCACACCAGCAGCAGCAACCACGATAGGATCGGCAGCAACAATCGGAGGCTAAAATGTGACTGGTAGGAGGTACAGGGTTCACGGCAGCGGCCCTCGTGCTGCGCACAGAAATCGTAGCGCTGTGGTTCGATACTCTCTCCCCCCAGCAGTAGCAGTGCTGCTGTGGACGTCAAGATGAAAAGTTGCAGTGATTGCTACGGCGGCCTGCAAACTGTGGCGCATCGGCGGCAGCAAACGGGGGTTGAGCATAGCAGCGGCAAGTGGCAGCTGAAGCGGGACATGGGCGGATGTGGCATCTGTGAGTGAGTGAGTCAGTGAATTCAGCAGGGAGGGGGCCACGGCCTTGCCGATACAGCAGACATAACCAAACCTCGTTCGTTCGATCAACCAATCAACGACCTGGAGGCGATAGGCAGACCACGAAAGAAGGAGCGAGCAGACGAACGGCAGTCGCGGAGAGGGTCATGCGGAAGCCATCCGTCCTCTCTCGTGTGTGACCCCGCCGACAGTAGTACACGCACATTGAAAATAGACAAGTGCCGTAGGTCGGAAGGTGTAGTCCTGCGCCAGAACAGAAATAGAATGGATGAAAAACACGCCGTCAAACACACGCTTCCGGTGATGTGATGTGGTCAAAACAATAGAACGAGCATAGCAACAGGATGGAGGTTATGCTGTGGTCTGCGGTGGCGGCCAACTGCCTCGTTGTCAATAATAGACAGTTCCACCAGTAGCATGGGCGAAGCATTTCATCGCGACAGTTAAATGATTTAATTTTTGATCTTTCCCCGGACAAGTTCCCAAGCAAGTGGTTGCATACCTTGACTATAACGTCACTGCAGATGTATGGCGTGGCGCTCATGGCAAAAGACTTTTCGCGTATGGGTGTCGCTGAATACCCTCAACAACCGAGCCCGCGTTGGAATGAATGCCATTGTCCATCAAGATACCGCCGCCGTCGTCAGATCTCGGTATCCTTACCAATTGAGTTTTGGTTCGATTTTGTTGTTGAACCCTTGAGAGACTGTCGTGCATGAACATTGCGATGGCCACCAGAAACGAATACGATGCTGTGCGTGGTAAGAGTACGCAATCATCGCGGAGGGGATATTCGTGCTATGTGGCGCACTCAACGTGCACGGACTTGTACAATGGCTTCGCCGGAGACGACGTCGGAAGCTTCTGCAGCATGCACATGGCCACGTACCGAGCAATGCTCACACGCAGATTACCAGTAGGTCCCATTGTACGCTTGCTGCATATCCATCTGATCACCCTGGCTGCTCGCTCCTTCACATGTAATTCACTTAGCGACACTATTTCACTGCCCCAATTGTGGCATACATTGCAACCCTATCCGCTGACTTCTCGCGCACACACAGCAGCGGCAGCGGGTACTGCAAAAAAAAACACCAAGACGACGACGCGTCAAAGTGCTTCTGACCGTGCCCATATTACATTTTTGAGGGGACCCGTCAAAAAGACGTGGCTGAATGCAGACGGCACACTCACATCCAAACAACCAACGGGCGAGTTGTCTTCCCAGGTTCTGCCAGTCGGCCTGCGCGCTGGGGAGGAAACCTACTGTACAGTCCATCCAATGAAAACGTTTCGGTGTGCCCATGCTGAGGAGACCGAATAAACAGAAGGCTTCGCCAATGAGTGCAACATGCTACACAGGGCCACGATCAAGCCCCATTTCTGTTGTTCCTGTTCCTGCAGCAGTGTTGCCCCAGCCGGCAGGAAGGCAGGAAGGGTCCGAGAATGTCGG